CTAAATAAAAAAATTAAATCTACAAAATTTTAATTAAAAAAAATTAATGAGAAAATTAAAGAACATGTTGGAAAATTTTTTATTAATTAAGTGGTTTAATTAAATTTAAAAAAGTAATTTATAAAGATTATTGAAGTAAAATGTATTATTAATTAAAATAAAAAATGTCACTATTTTATTAAAAAATGCTTGAGGATATGTATATTATATAATATTAATTAATTAATTTAAAAAATTTATTATTACTAAAAACAAATGAAGTAAAGGAAAAAAAAACATGCAAAGGCGTGCAGGTGCAATGCCATGAAAGCTGATGACAAACGGCGTCATGAAGTCAGTTAGCAGAGGGGTTGATCTGCACCCACCGTGGGGTTGGAGGGCTTATTTGCCACTTTTTTAACAGGGACTTGTCACTTACTGTCAAAAAAGTTGAGGGGCTAAAGAAGGGGTTTTGCCGTTCCTGAATCCTATATATACTACTACTCTCCTCTCTCATGGCTAACTCTAGCTTCTCTCTTCTCCAGCCTATCGCCTAGTGAGTAATACTTGATCATGTATGCTCTACTCTGCAGCTCTTACTATAGTTTTCTTACTTTACGTACGCTCAATATATTTTTTTGTTGTTATCCTTACTTGTCATGTAAATTTCTTAATCATATACATATATAGTTAAAATTCATTTATAGATAATTTTTACATATTATACTTATATAAAATTTTAATTATTTTATTTTTTCACTTTTAATGCTTAAATTTTATTCATATTTATTAACAATAATTATTTTTTTATTTAAAAAATCATAATAAATCTTAATAATTGAAAGTGTAAAAACAAATAGTCAAGAATTTGTGGGTGTAATATATAAAATTTATATATAAGTGGATACCTTCTCTTTTTCTCTCTCTATATACATATAAGATAGTGTAAAGCAAGTCATTTTCTAAAATTTTTTTTAGAGGACCTATCTAAAAGCCCATATTTGAATGAATATTTTCAAAAACTAATCACTGAATTGAAAGTTTTACCTATATAGACTATTCATATAGGAGAACAACTTGCAAAATACTTTTCCTTATATATATTAACCCATTTTTAAAGTACGAATGAAATTATTTTGGTTTTTTCCCATAATACTTTAGTGAAATAATATAGTTTTAAAGTATTTTTCTTTCAATTTTAAAGAATTATGGGTCATAAACACTAATTATATATATATATAATTTTCTCACTTACCCTATATTTGAATTGAAGGAAAGGAAGGAGAGGGGAATTATAT